TTGAGATGTTCTACTATCCGAATGATGGAAACCAGATATGTTATAATGGCTTATTTCTTGAATAGGCTATCAATTAGCTCAGGACCAACTCTAATATAAATTATGTAATGGCAATCTGAAGAACAAATACTTGGTGAAGGATATAAAAATAAAGTAGAAAGCAGAGTAAAATGAAATTTGAAAAAATTGTATTGTTATATAATTTGCAAGCTCCTCTGGGAATTCAAGTTCTGGCAATTACAAGTGCCACTTATAAATGCAACCTCAGTTAAATCACTTTATCTCTTGGAAACTATTTAATATTTATAAAGTGAAGATAAGTACGCTCATTAAAGTTGGTGTGTAGATCAAATGAAACAAATTATGAAAACCACTTAGAATAGAGTTTAGCAAACAGTAGGCACTTATTAATTCCTACATTCAATAACTATTTCTTAAAAACCTACTAGTGCCAGGCATTGTGCTAGGAACTGAGGATATAATGATATAAATAACATGTTTTTGCCTACACAACAATAATGGTGTGCTACCTCATATCCATCAAATTAGCAAAAATGTAGGAGTATAGCACTGTCTTGTTTTGCTAGAGGTAAGATATAGAGAAACAAAAACTCATACTATGATTTCTCTTGAGAGTAAAAATTTCTGTAGAGAGTATAAACTTGTACAACCAATTCTTCAGTTACTTTATCTGTGTAGCAATTAGCCCAAAACTTGGTGGCATAAGACAATTGTTTATTATGCTCCCAGTGGGTCAGAAATTCAGATAAAACACAGTAGGAGCAGCTTGTCTCTGTTCCAATGTCTGGGGCCATAGCTGGAAGACTCAAAAGCTGAGAGGTGGAATTCTCTGAAGCTTCAGTCATCCACGTGTTGTTGAGGGGCTGACGTGGGCTGAGACTTTAGCTGAGCCTGTTGACCAGACTATTTATACGAGACCTCTCCGGGTGGCATAGGCTTCCTCACACTGTGGTAATTGGGTCCAAGGATGAGTGTCCCAAGACAGAGAGGGCTAGCCAAGCAGAATCTATATCACCATTTATGTCCTAGGCTTGGAAGTCAGGTAGTGTCACTTTCACTGCATTTATTTATTAAAAGTGAGATCCTACAACTAATCCATAATCAAGGAAAAGGGAATGTAGACCCTACCTTTTGATAGAGTAGTGTCAACATTACATTATAAAAAGAGCATATAGAATGGGATATGTTGATGTGGACATCTCTGGAAAATACAATCTGCTTTAACTAGTTTGAAGGAAATATGGCAATATTTGGTAAAATTTTAAATGTGTATGGCTTGGCAATTCCGCATTTAGAAAAACCCTAGTGAAAATTTTTTACATGTGCACACAGAGAAATATACAAAGATAGTTACTGCAATGCTGCTCGTTAGAGTGAAAATTTGGAAACATCCCAAATATCCATCAAAAAAAGACTTATAAATAAATGGTAATATAGTAATACAAAGGGAAAATAATAAATCAGTAAAAATAAAAGAACAAGAAATACACATTTTAATATTGATAATTCCTAATAACTTATGTTTTTTCTTTCCTATGAGGCTGTTTGGCCCTGCTACTGCCATCCTCTCACCTGGGATTTCCTTTGCGACGTTGCCTCAAATGTGGACAAACACTTTCTCTGTTTTTATTAGCACTATCTAGATAGGATGGCATTTTCAAAAAGAATCTTATAAATTAAAAAGATGACTTGAAAAAAATTCACAATATCAAAATAAACAGTAGCATCAGTTTTAGATGGTCTAACTCTTTTCAGATGGAACTAATTAAAATATTCATCTAACACAGTATGTAAAGCTTTAAGAGTGGTGTAATGTTTTTACTGGCCCCACATGCTCTAGTATTCATATACTTCTATTCTTTAAGAGTACAATGTTATCTGACCTGAAACTCAAATTCTGTTTCCACACCATGTAGGTAAAAAATGCACTGAATTGTCTACTTAGACCATTTCACTCTAACAAGGAATCATCCTGGAACCAAGCTTGGCATAAGATAACAGTACAAGCATGAGGCCTAAAGCTCCTGAGGGCTTCACATGCTGGGAAGCCCATCTACTTACCGTGTTTTCTCATGGCAAGTGAAAAGCAAAGGAAATGAGTATGCTACTGAAAAAGACTAAACAATGCACAGAAAGGAACATTAATGAGAGCCAGGAAAGCCCAAATATTTTTCCACTCCCAGTTTTATTACTTTCCCAAGGCTTTAGTTCACAATTCTCAGCATGCGAGGTGTCTTTCCTCCTACTGAATTCAAGCCATCTCTTCAGCCACAGCCAGAGGACAAGATCCATCTAATAGTCTAGTAGATCAGGAGTCAGCAAACTTTTTCTGTAAAGGGCCAGACAGGAAATATTTCACTCTTGTGGGCAATATGCGATCTCTGTCACATATTCCTCTTCTTCTTCTTTTTTAACCCCTTAAAAAAGTAAAAACCGTACTGCTCCAGGCTGAGGGGCAGATGGTCTACAGGCTGTAGTTTTACCCCCTCTGGATCAGTACTGATTCTAAATCCTGGCTGCCAATTACATGGGGATCTTTAAAAAAAATATCTGGTAAGGGCCGGCCCCATGGCGCACTCGGGAGAGTGCGGCACTGGGAGCGCAGCGACACTCCTGCCGTGGGTTCGGATCCTATATAGGGATGGCCGGTGCGATCACTGGCTGAGCGCGGTGCGGGCGACACCAAGCCAAGGGTTGTGCGATTCCCTTACCGGTCACGAAAAAGACAAAAAAAAAAAAAAATCTGGAAATCCCCAGGCCATACCCCTAGAAATTTATTAATGAACCATTAAATGGTTCGTAAAGTTCATTTAATGGGATCCAGTCATTGGATGAACCTAATAGAAAGCCAAACTTGAGAGCTGCTGGAACATTTGCTGAATTTTGCTTACTTTAAGATCATTCTGTAATGACTGGCAGGTCATTTAAGTGGATCGAGGGACACATCTAAATGAACTTCTGACTTAGTCAGTCATCTTGACTCTTCTACAGTGCATAATTACATAAAGAAAAGAAAACAAATTTGGGAGAGGTTCCATCTCAGTCTTTTCTACTTGTTTAGAACTAATACCTTCTTAGAGATTGGGCATGGTAGATTGTCCAAAGGTTACCCTTACTGTTGTTCCATCCTTGATCAGGGACAAAAAAAACTGACTACAATTGTTGTCAGGGATGGGCTTGGCATGGTAGGGTGGGGGAGATTAGATATTGTTGCTGCAACTCTCTTCAAAAGATGTCACTTGTATTTTTGTTTTTAACCTTTTATTGCAAAATATTTGCAGTATTTTTAAAGTCACAGAAAAAAATGAAATAAAATATAGACCTCACAATTTATTTTACTAATTTTAAGTAATATTTCATGTTCCCTAATGCTTCTGACTGTTCAAAAATTTCTGTAGTACAGATATCTTCCATCTGTGAGGTCTCTTTAATGTATAAATAACAAGTGTAAGCAATTGAGCTGTCTGATTTAAGAAAATTTTACTGGGTTACCTTATTTAAGAATCTCTGAAAATTTCCAGGTAATGCTTATATGGTATATAAATCCATCCTGATTACAGCTCAGGCCAACACATGCTATTTACAGTTCTCTTTCCTTGACGATGTTGCTATTTTTTTTATATAAGGATACTTCTAAAAGTTTGGGGGGAGATAGAATTAATAGATAATACAAGGTGGCCAGTTAGTTCAGTTGGTTAGAGTACAGTGTTATAACACCAAGGTCAAGGGTTTGGATCCCTGTACTGGCCAACTACCAAAAAAAAAAAAAAGATAATACAAATCTTTGGAAGTACATTCATACTGGTTTACTCCAAACATGAGCATAGATCCTTCCCTTCATTCCCGCCCAGACTTCACTTGAAGACTCTGAGACCATAAAATGTAAATGCAACACAGCTTAAACCTGAATGCTATTGAAAGCTGCTCTGAGTTAGAGAACACAAGTCCCACCACAGAATTCCCCCTACTGGGTACCTACCTTCTTAGGTGCCATGCCGCCCTGGACTGCTAACCTCTTTCCGATGGGAATGCCCTTGAACGTTCATCACCCTTGGAATCAGTCTTCTAAAACCTGAAACCTCATATTCTGTTCTTTGTTCCTAAGACAAGACAGAATGTGCGGCATAAATGAAGGTGAGCCCAGTCAGCACATCTGTTAAAAGTTTGAAAGAATCATTCTACTGCCCAGGTAATTGATACACTTTTAGCTACTTCAATATGTGGCCTTTCCACTCTGCATCATCTTTGCATGTTACTCAAAGACTGATCACTCTACAAAGCACTTTGGACTTACGTTTGGCCCACTAGCCCAATAGCTCTAGAGTTTTACAAGGAAACTGAAGTTCACTTGGTGAAAGTGACCAAGGACCTAAATTCTTAATCCTCAAAAAATTCTTAATACCAGTCCTTCAGTTTCCAACTTTAGGTTCTGTTGCAAAACCCCAAAATTCCTGTGGTATTTCAGCATTTAGATAGGGCTAGAATATTTTCTTTTCCTTGTGCTTTTTTTCTTGATCTATACTTTCCTCTTTCCATTCCACTAGACAATGGGGGAATTGACTCTAAGACTGCAGTGGATTACTATCCCTACTACCACCACTACCTTATATTCAAAACATTATCTGACTAAAAAAGAAAAATAAATAGAAAAGATCTAGGACCCCTCAGCTGCCAATATTAGAATCTATGTGTGAAAGTATCATCAACTCTCTGTGAGATATCAGTACTTCCTCCAAATAAACATAGACAATAGTTTCAAGGGAAAGATTTGTAAAGCCATGAGCAGAGTTAGAAGGGATGGAGCAATTCCTTGCTTCAAAATCCCAAAGACTCCCCCTCCTAGGGGGCTAGGGAAGTGGTAGAGGCCCCAAGAAGACCTCAAAGGTTGTGTAGGTACCTAAGACCAGACCTAAGACAGCTCTCCTTTGAATACTGGCAAGCAGTGATTTGAAAGAGGATCTGAAAAAAATTCACACTCATTAGAAAGCATCAGGAAGTAGTTTTATTGCTGTGAACATAGGACAATAAAGTTTGGCAAAATCCCAAAGTTAAAAATCTGGAGGCCTGGACTCTTCTGTGCTCTTTTCTCTTTTGCCTTCTCTCAAAACACATGGAATTCCAAAGCAGGAAATAATTCTTTTTTTGTCCTAATTCTGGTCTGGTGTCCTAGGCATTCTAATTCTCCTAACACCTTCCTTCTTCTGTGGGAACAGAAAAATCAACAAAAGAAAAGAAAAAGCAGAAGAAATCATGAGAGAATCTGCATCAAATGAAAAGTGGTGAAAACCTTAAACAATCCTATCTAAGTGTACAGGAACCAAGCAATAGGGAGGGTCACTCTTCTGAGGGGGGTCACAAGCAACAATGAAGAACTTGTATTGGGCAGCACCACTGTAGTGGCAGTTAGGATACCTCCCTGCAGTGAGTCGGCAGTGAGTCATGTTGACACGCTTTGAGCTCTGGTGGCAGTTGTTCCGACCATTCTTGCAGCTGATGTTGAGCAAATCACAGACAGCAGCCACATTCTGGAAAGAGTCATGCAGAAATGTGTTTTGAGGCTTACAGTGCTGGGTGTAATTATTGACACCACTCATTGCCCTGTTGCACTGGAGAGGACTTGGCTGTATATGCTGAATTTCAAACCAATGAGCCTTGGTGAGATTCTTAGGCCAAGCATAAAGTGGACGTACTGGCGCCCATAGTCCCAGTAGCAATAGGAGGAGAGGAAAGCGTCCCAGAAGATCTAGCACCATCTTTTCTGTGTGGAAAGAGGGAAGAAAATGGTGATAGAAGCAATTAGAGCAAGATTATTAATCATAACCTTTTAGATTTTGTTGTGCCTTTAAAGATTTCATAGCTCTTGGGTTTTATTATTTATTTATTTATTTACTTGCTTTTATTTTTATTTTTATTTTTTTTACACATCGTGTAGGTTTATATATATTTACTACTGAGAGGACATTGTCAATAACCACTATACAATGCTATTTACAGCAACAAGGTACCTTGTTTTAAATGGCATACATTAAAAGTAGTTAAAAGCAAATAAATCATTGACTGTACTTAGATGCATAAGTACAGATGTGTAATATAAAATATAAATCAGAATCATTCTAGGAACTATGTAACAATTGTGATAATTATAAAAAATATAAACAGATAGGTGCCAACGCTGCACATATGTGCATGTGTTATTTACATATGTTGCATACTTTAGAAATTTTTATATATTGTAATATGCTAAATATATATCACTGTGAAAAATTATTTTCCATTTACGTTATGTTTACTTATTTTTAAATCATCATCTTTCTCACATACAGCTTCATAATTCTATGAAGAATCTGAAGCCCAGTGAGGAGTAATATGAGGTAAGCAGATCTTTCCTTTGATTGGCAGATCCCATTCTTCTCTTTGATCTGTACTCATTCATTTCAGGACCCCTTATGTCAGAAACCCGGTTTCTTCCCTTTTCCCTCTGGAGATATTTACCCTCCATCTATTTGACAACTATTTCCCAGCTATCTTCACTGCTCTACTCACTCCAGCCCTGAGGCTTCTCTTCTTACCGGGTCTGTGTGCTAGCACTCCTGCTGAACAGAGGCTGTGTCCCAGGTTCAAAGGCTTTTGTCTGCCTTTCTTCTCCCAAGCCTGCCAGAGCTGCTTGTGTGAGCTGGGGAAGAAAGATTCTAAGCTCTAGGAAAGAGAAACCTAGGGCTTGGAAGGTGAACCTCTTGCGCAAAGTGTGGATGAGACTCAGAGTTTCAAGCCTGCTCTCTAAAATAGTATCACTGTCACTGTATATACAGGAAGCGTATGCCCACTTAGAGGAACAAGTTGACTCAAAACTCACAGTTTTGAGGAAGTGATCACTTCCTGATATGGGTTGAGTGCTTTCTACCTAACCTGAGGCTTCAGTGTTTTAAAGCTCTATGATTTCAGTTCCTTAAGACAAAATACATCATGTAAATCTAATATAATAGCTGCCACATAATTGGTAATGTTGTGAGTTCCAACAACAAATGTGAATAAATTTGTTGTTGGAACTCATGTTTATTGGGCCAGGCGACTCAGATTCAGGAGGTCATGATCTAATGAAAGAGACAGTCAAGTAAATAGACAAGTACGTTATATATTAATTAATATAAATTGCACTTATACTGTGGTGGAGGACACTGCAGGGGACTGGGGAGATAGTAGAAGGGAAGGATTATCGGAGGCCACAACACCTGAACTGAATTTTGAGGAATAATTAGAAATAAGGTAGAGGGTACTGAGGGCCTCCCAAAGAGGGAGATGTATGTGAAAAGACCCATAAGCAAGAAGAAGAAGGGCAAATTTAGGGTACTTTCGTCTTGAATCTGTTCATACCTTTCCATTGGTGCTGCAATACCCTTGTTCAGAACCTCACCATCTCATGGAGGGCTCACATAAAAGCCTCCTGCATGAACTTCCTGCCTCTAGCCTCTTTTCCTTCCAACCTATTCTACACATTACTTCCAGGTTAGTCTTTCTTGAGTATAGATATAAATAGTACAGCAGCCTTGCCCAATGCTTTTAGTGGTTGCTGTAGGGGAAAAAATTTCTCTTTACCTATGAAGGTTTGATAATTGACTCATGATATAAACTGACAGTAGACAAATTAACAGGAGAAAGACCATTTTAATTACATGCATATGCATGGTAGTCCCACAAAATATGAGACTCAAAGAATGGTCATATGGTTAAAGTTTATATAGCATCCTGAGGTAGAGAAAGAAATAGGAGACTGGGGCCCCCTGGAGGGGGTGTGTGACAATTTATGTGCAGATGAGAGGAGAAAATGCATGGTGAACAAAGATTGTCTTGTTATATAGATAAAAAGTCTCTTGGTTAATAAAGTTTGTCTCAGAGGAGCCCATCAGCAAAGAACAGGTGATACTCTGTGACAAAGTCTATCTGAGCATAGTGTCTCCTCTCCTGTTGGTTAATCTTCCCTGGTTGATGAGGTTCCCAGGGAGGGGACTTATGACAATTCAATTCTTTTTAGGAGAATCTTTCTCCAGGCAGATAAGGCAACTTCAGAGAAAGCCCTTCCCTGTGCTTTGGGTGAGAAAGAGGGCCAAAGACAGGAGAGCAGAGGAAGGTCAGAGAGATCTTGGTTATTCTTTAGTTCAAAGCACTCAGTATGCCAAAGTGCCATACTTTGGGGTATTGTTTTCTGAGTCCCAACATTCCAAACACCTGCAACATGAAAATGATGTCTATTTATAGCAAGGTAGCAGGATACAAGATTAATATATGAGGGCACTTCAAAAAGTTCATGGAAATATAGAATTGAAAGATAATACAAATCTTTCCATGAACTTTTTGAAGTATCCCCCTACAAGTCAATTGCTTACTTATATACTACCAATAAACAATTGGAATTTGAAATTAAAAATACAATACCATTTACATTTCCCCAAAGAAAAGTGAAATACTTAGGTATAAATCTAACAAATTATAAGGGCCGGCCCGGTGGCGCACTGCTACAGTGCACCGCTTGGGAGCGCGGTGGCGCTCCCGCTGAGGGTTCGGATCCCACGTACAGACTGGTTCCCGCTCACTGGCTGAGCGAGGGGCGGGCGCAGCTCCGAGGGTTGCGATCCCGTTGCCGGTCCCGGTCTGGTACAGGCGCGACACTGAGGGTTGCGGTCCATTGCCGGACACGAAAAAAGACAAAAAGGAAAAAATAAATAAATAAAAAATAAATAAATCTAACAAATTATGTAAAGATTGATATGAGAAAAAGTGTAAAACTCTGATAAAAGAAACTGAAGAACTAAATAAATGCATAGATATATTCCATATTCATGGACAGAAAGACTCAATATTGTTAAGATGTCAGTTCCTCCCTGCTGATCTATAGATTCAACACAATCCCAATCAGTATCCCAGCTAGTTATTGACGAACTAATACCAAAGTTTATATGAAAAGGCCCACATAAGGCTAAAAAAGAATAAAGTCATAAGACTTACACTACCCAACTTCAAAACTTAACTATAAAGCTACAGTTATTAAGATTGTGGTATTGGTCAAAAAACAAATAGGTCAATGGAACAGAATAGAAAGCCCAGAATTATACTCACATGAACATAGAGAACTGATTTTTGACAAAGGAACAAAGTCAATATAATTGAGAAAAGATAGTATTCTTAACAAATGGTAGTAAAACAAGTGGACATCTACATTAAAAAGTGAATTTTTTCATTGATCTAGACCTTACACCTTTTTATAGACCTAGACTTTACACTTTCACAAAAATTAATTCAAAATGGATTATAGACCTAAACGTAGAATGCAAAATTATAAAAATTCTAGAAGATAACATAGGAGAAAATCTAGGAGACCTTGGGTTTGGCAATGATGTTTTAGATATAAAACCAAAAGCACAATCGGTGAAATAAAAAAATTGATAAGTTGGACTCCATTAAAATTAAAAACTTTTACTCTGCAACAGACACTGTTAAGAAAATGAAAAGATAAGCCTGAGACTGAGAGAAAATATTTGGAAAAGATATATCTGATAAAGAACCGTTATCTAAGATATACAAAGAACTCTTAAAACCCAACAATAAAAAAACAAACAACCCAATTTTAAAAAGTGGGCAAAAGGTCTGAATAAACGCTTCACCAGAAAAGATATACAGGTGGTAAATAATCATATGAAAAGATGCTCAAAGTCATATTGTTGGGAGGAAAACTTTTCCTCTACCATTTTAGGTTGGAATAGTGGGGGGGAAGGATTTGTGAGTTAATTGGAAAAAGACAGATTAACAGGAGAAAAGACAAAGTTGATTTACATTTCAATGTGGGAGTACTGCATAATGAGTAACTCACTGAATAGCCAGAGGTAAAGGTTATATACCAATTTCACAAAAGGGTTTTTTTTTTTTTTTTTTTTTAGGGCTTTAGTGGGAAAGTATGGAAGGTTCTACCAAGCTTTTTGATGCTGATGGGAATGTGTAGTGTGTCTTCTTCCTGACTTAAAGTTTCCTTGTAAGAAGGTTTATAGCAGCTGAACTCACCTCCCAGCCCTAAGGGTCAGTCTTCTTTCAAGTGGGAAAATCCCTTGGAGGGGTCAATGGCAGCTGAATTTTCAAGAGGATCTGCTTAAGTTTAGACAGTGTTTCTTTCTGCAGCTGCTGTCTGCTCAGATATTTTCAGTTTCAAATAATTTTCATACCTTTTTGGTGAGTTATTAATTTCTTCAATGTATCATTAGAGAATTGCAAATTAAAAAAAACAATGAGATACTGTACATATCTACTAGAACAATTTAAAAAATTTTTAATTGAAGCATAATTGATTATACATATTTTGGGGGTACAGTGTTGATTATCATTATTTGTGTATAATATATGATGATCAAATCAATATTATTAGCATATTCATTATTACAAATTGTAATTATTCTTTGTGCCCCTTACCCAGTTTCTCCCTAACCTCCCTGTCCCTCCCTCTTTCCTACCTCTAGTAACCATAGATTTTTTCTCTCTTTCTGAAAGTTTAATGTATTATTGTGGTTCATCTTTTCCTCCTTCCTTCCTTCCTTCACACCCACTTATGAGTGAGGACATTCAGTATTTCTCTTTCTGTGTCTGGCTATTTTTGCTTAACATAATTTGCTCCAAGCTCATCCATGTTGTAGCAAATGGCAGAATTTCATTCTTTATTATGGCTGAGTAGTATTCCTTTGTGTATATATATCACATTTTCCTTAACCAGTCCTCTGTTGATGAACATTTAGGTAGGTTACATATCTTGGCTATTGAAAACACAGCTGTGATGAACACAAGAGTGCAGGTATCCTTTTGACATGATAATTTCCATTCCTTTGGGTATATACCCAGAAGTGGGATTGCTGGATCATATGGTAGTTCAATCTGTAGTTGTTTGAGAAACCTCCATACTGTTTTCCATAATGGCTGTACTATTTTACAGTCCTCTTTAATTTCTTTCAACAGTGACTTGTAGTTCTTATAGTAGAGATTTTTCACCTTCTTAGTGAAATTTATTCCTAGCTATTTTATTTTTTTTGGTGACTTTTGTAAATGGGCTTTCTTTCTTTCTTTCTTTTCCTGCTAGTTCATTGTTGGAGTATGAAAATGCTACTGATTTTTGTGTTGATTTTTAACCTGCAACTTTACTGAAATCGTTTATCAGCTCTAAGAGTTTTTCAGTAGAGTCTTTAGGTTTTTTCTCTATATAGGATCATGTCATCTGCAAACAGGGACAGTGTGACTTCATGTTTTCCAATCTGGATGCCCTTTATTTCTTTCTCTTCCCTGATTGCTATGGCTAGTACTTACAATATTATGTTAAATAGGAGTGGTGAGGGTGGGCATACCTGTCTTGTTCCTGTTCTTAGGGGAAAGCTTTCAGTTTTTCCTCATTCAGGATGATATTGGTGGTAGATTTGTCATATGTGGCTTTTGTTACGTTGAGATTTTTTCCTTCTTACAGAATTTGAGAGTCTTTATCATGAAGGTACATTGAATTTTGTCAAATGCTTTTTCTATATCTATTGATATAATCATGGTTTTTGTCCTTGATTTTGTTGATGTGATGTATCACATTTATTGACTTGAGTATGTTGAACCATTCTTACGTTCCTGGGATGAATCCTACTTGATCATGATGAATAATTTTTTTGATGT